ATCAATAAAGAAAAATGGCTTTTTTACGAAATTTTATTGGGGAAAAATTTTCTAGAACATTGTTTGTTACACATCCCAATTTAGCAAAATTCCTGACTGTAATGCAATCATTGTTGCGCTAAAAGGCATTTATATAGTTAGCACGCGATTAACTAAAGAGATAATCGTTCGATATTTCCTTATTAAGTGACGATCTGTCTATTATAGAAAGTGGAGGAAAAAATCCACGGCTGTTACAAAGTAAATTTTTTTGTTTCTTATAAAAAGTCAAAAAAGGCATAATATGTTCTTGATGTTCGTTTTATCTTGTAGATAAAAAATTTTGATTAGTAGCATACAATTTTTTGATCAGACTTCTCTTTAAAAAACAACTTTGATTCATATAATTGAATTTCTGATTTAAATCCACTTAATTCAAGTTCTAAATTAATTTATTTCGTTCCATTATTTTTAAAATGTCATTAAATAAAAGTAAAGCTCCTAACTGTTCGGTTCGAACCGGTTTTATGGGTAAACCGAAACCGAACCGAAATCTTCGGTTTATAAACCGAACCGAACCGAACTTTCGGTTTATAGACCAAAACCGAACCGAATTTCTTGCATACAAACCGAAACCGAACCGAACCCATTTTTTTAAACCAATAAAAATTTAAATTTGATAATGTTGCCGGAATTAGAAATTCATTGGCTGAAATTCTTTAATCTATTTCGTATAGATTTCGCACTTCAAGAGCTAAGAGCTATTTCGGGATTAATTCATTGAATTGCAATTACACAAAGAAGTTTAGTAATAGCCTATTCATCCTGATCCACATAATTGAAATTTCTTTGTTATCATCAATTAATTATGCTCCTCTCCAACTTCTTCACTATTATAAATAGGAGAACTATTATCAGGTGAATTATTATCAAGAGAATTATGTAATTCATTCATGAAGAAATCAATAACTAACAGTAAAATTGAAGGAGAGGAATTAATTATTAATTATTATTATTATTTTTTTTTTTTTGATTATATACTGTATATTAATATATATTAATATTAATATATATATTTTATTTATTATCGGAAAAAAAATTTATCAGAAAAAAAAATTTTTTTTTGTGTTCAATAATAATTTAAAAACCGAACCAAAAATTTCAGTTTAAACCGAACTGTTCAGAGCTTTAAATAAAAGAAAATCTTTAACTGCTTTGGTAAAAAGAGTAGCTTGTTTAGCAAAAAGACAATTCTGATTCCAACAAGCAAAGAATTCACAACAACTTTTGATACAAGTACAAGTACAATTAGTGATATTTTAAAGGTGGCTTCCTATTGATCCAAAGTTTTCTGATACTAACAAGAAAGATAGTTGGTATATGGAATTGATCTATTTAAACAGAGCAAGCCATTTAAGACATTACTTGGTGATATATTGAAAGAAAGGCAATAAAATTTGCATCACTTCTTAAAATCCATGACTTCATGACTTTAAAGTATCAGCAGGGTGGTTAACAGGGTTCAAGCAAATACGCAATATAAATCAATATACAAACAAGATGAAGCTGCTAATGACTCATTTCACAATTATCTGCTTATTAAGAAATTCTATTACAAACCAACATTAATTATCTGATATTTTTAAAGCAGTTTATTTTGGCAGTTAGAACCATCCAAAGTATTATCAACTGGGCCTGAATCTGGAAGAAAAAGGTCAAAAGAAAGAGTTACAGTATTATTAACAGTTAAACAGAAAATTGAAGCCATTATTTATACACAAATACAGAACTCCTAAAGTTCTAAGAAATATTGACAAAGGAGTGCTCTTGGATCATTGAAGAACAATTTAATGATAATAATATAGAATTTGTTATATCCAATACATATTAATACAGAACATTTATTTTTAGTATCACAAAATGAATATACTGATGTGACCACTAATTATATATTTATGGATCCATATAATTTTCCTGATATAAATGAAATTTATACAGAATATTTATTAAAGACAAATTTCTAATTAAAAAACATCACTATTCATTTTACAAACAAAGGTTAGCAAAAAATAAAATAATAAAAATAATGATAATTTTGTTTTCTTTACAAGGAATTATATCAAAAGAAATCAATGCTTTATTTTCATTACCAATCATAGTGGAGTATTTGTGAAATAATTGACAAGTTATCAAGTGATAAAATTACAGGTTATTTCCCAAATGAATTCAAATTGAAATCAAATTAAATGGATGATAGATCATTATGATTAGTGTTCCATGTTGCAACCCAAAAAAGGAAACAAAATGGTTGTAAAGGTGGTTGCAACCAGCAGTTGCAATCATTTTTATATGACACAAAGATGG